AACAAACAAGAAATAGCTCAGAGATGAGATGATGTGACCAATTATTTAAACATGACTTTTGATACTTTTTTATGTTGAGAGAAAATATGTTACTAATCAAAACACAATACATGTAGTGTTCTAAAACCTGTGTTTCAATTGGTGGGTCCTACCTTACCAAGTCCAGAATTGCTCTCTGGCTTCAGTCAGGACAAGGTAGGTGGTATAAGAGCAAAGTCCATAGAAACCTACAGTTTTTTTCAATGAACATGCTGTACATAAAGTGGATTTATCAAAAATCACAAATAGAACTACGAGGTGAACATCCTTCACAGCCAACAAAACTACAGGATGGATCCTTGACAAACACTTTGAAATTACATGCTGAATTCTGTGAGATAAAATCTTGAAGAAGCTGCTGTCTACCTTACCATACCCAAGTGCCTGTCATGCACATAAAGCTATTTCGCCATTCAAATTCAAAACAATGAAACAAAAGCCAGTTTTATCATGTTAAGAAAAATTAACCACTGTGATGTCAATAAATTCATTGATACGCTGGCCTTCTCTATTACCGCTGAATGCTGTTCATCTTGTTACAGGCTTTTTTCAGGAGACTGAAAAGAGGCCACGAGAACAATGACAGTGTCATTAACCCACCACCACTGGGGAGATACTCTATGTGGAAAATGTCCAGAAGGGGAGGGCAAAACTTTTAAAGATGTTCATCCAAACGTTATGGAAAAAGGAAATTCATTTGAAAAATAAGAAATAAAGTGGCAGAGAGATGGGGTGGTAAGTAACGGAAAGCAACTGGGACCGGAATGGGGGTGGTGGTCTCGTTCAACGTCAACATCAATTTTGCTCAGTGAAGGGACTTGTAAAAACGTCGTTCACAATACTCCTTACAAGGTTTTCAATGTCCATCAAGGTGTCAATGCAAAGGAAGCACAGAGACATTGCCTCACCTTAGAGTAATACTGTGTGATGCAAAGTCTGCTGAGTGGGGACACTTGAAGCGAAGAAGTCTAAGTCTGAATGGTAAGGGCGATGACCTCGGTACGCTGTTCATTTTAAGTGTAGTGACAGAGGCAGCTGGGGTTGGTTTTTATCACACGAGACTTTGACACGCGTGTCTCTTGGCTTGTGCCTGTGCTCTCACACATGTGTGTGTGTGTGTGGGGGGGGAGCATATATGGATACACAGAAGTCAAATCTGTAAAAAGCAGTGGGATTAAATGTCAAGGCTTCAAACAAATAAATCCTCATGATGTTTGGAGTCACAAACAGTTGTGGGTGTGACTCGGTGGCACCTCCCTATCAACAAAACAGTGGCGTAGCGCCACTAATTCCTGCTCCTGAAGGTCTGAGGCACTTTCAAAAATATTGGGAAGATTCCAGAAGGCAAATGCCAAGGAGGGAATGGTTTGTTTTCTCAGTTCTGCCAAACCAGATTCATTTGTCTGATGTATTTATCTTACATATGGAAAAAATACACACTTGGAAAGAAGTCTTCTAGACCACACACACCTTTCTGATTTCAGTGCTCAAGCCTGGAATGAGGAGGGTTTTTCCTTTTTGAAGATGTGTAGTTCTTAAATACACACCACACACACACACACACACACACACACACACACACACACACACACACACACAGGCTGTTCTTGCAAACGACAAATGAGTAAAGACCCTCTGCATCACAGATGACAGACATCAAGAGAGAAACCACACTGAGGTTGATGTTGGCACACAAAGAGGAATGTATAAGTTCTTCAAAAGTCTAGCACGAGATGAACACAGAAGCAGTACGAGTTATGTTTTCCACGAGACAAGTGGACAAAGAGGATGCTCAGAGGAGTTGAAAAGTAACCATTTAGGATATGCTCTTTCAAACAATGAAAATAAGTATATATTATACTAATGAACTGAATTATTTAGTCTCTTTGAACTCAAAGATTTCTTGGTCCCTGGGGTAATTCTGTAAATAGGATAATCACTGAAGTTCAAACTACCGTTTTCTGTAGTAAGTGATTTTTCCAGTTTACATCACAGGTAGAAACAAATATAGGGATAGCTTATGTGTAGTTACTTCCTTTTACTCCAACTTCAGGGAAAACATTACATTTGAGTCATACATACACGACATCATTTATTTGAGAAAAGGTTTTGTTGAAGTACTTTCAGCTGTTATATGATTTTTATTATTTGAGCTAAGAGAAGCAGGCAATTTGAAATTATGTTTTGCTTATAGAAAATTCAGTTGCTGATGAACATATAATACAAACTGCAGCTGGGTTTCATTTCCCATATAAAGTTTACTTGTGTGTGTCCTTTCGTTTGCTTTTGATACTATCAGCTGCATTTGGAAATTAAGTGAATTCACTAGAGACTCTGCTTTTAAACAAACCTAAGTTTAGACTTTGGTACTATTTTTGACTTTAGGGAAATTTCCTGAGCTTGCACGTGTGTGTGTAATGCTGTTATATAAAGGTAATGACTCCTAGTATGGCTTTGGTTTTAATATAAAAGGCATTATGTAGGTAAAATGCATATTACAGATCTCTAAATTCCTTCTCCACTTTGTATTCTCCCCTTAAATTGAGCCAAAACTATAGGATAATTTACTCTGCTAAAGTTGGAAATAGTCTATATACGAGGTTCTTTTCTTTATAAGGCAATTTTGGGTAGAATTGTAATTTCAACTATTTATAACATCCCTATTTAATTCAATGTATACTTTTCTATGCTCTTGATTGTCATGTGGTAGGGCTGGAAACAGGTGAATAAACAATCAGTTCTGACAGAATACTTTTGAGCATGCCAAATTGAATTGTTTTACTTTTTTCCCTGTGTCCAGGTGGAGTTGTGTGGCCCCCGAGGTGAAGGTGATTGGAACACAGAACAGAAAGGGGAACTCTGAGTTATGTAAACTCATACCGAGGAAACAGCGTATCTTCAGTGTACTACATATTACTTCCTAGCCCATTGCCTCTTCAAAAATACCTACAAAGAAGCCTAGGTAAGAAGACCATACCTATTTATCTCTCTATGGACAACGAAGAAACAGTTAAGGTTAAATAGCAAAAAATAAGTGATGTTCAACTAGCATGGGGTAAAATGTGTAAATTAGTTAGTGATCAGAAATTATGCATACTCCAGTTCCTTTTGTATAACTTTTGTGATGATAAATAGGATTTAGTGGGGATTTCGATACCGGGATTTCAATGATTTAGTTTCTTACTGGGAACATCTAAAATCTGTTGTCCCGTTGTGACAGGAAAATAATCATCCCTAAAGTTGCAGACAAGAGTGCTAGCTACATTCCTTCTTTATTTGTGTGATTAGATAGGAGCAAAAGCAAAAGCTTTAGGCCAATAGTCTTTGCTCCGTCTTTGAAAGATTTAATTAAAGGAGCAAGTTATTCCAATGGGGGCATTTGGACTAGGAAGAGCAAACAAACAGATTCAAGTGAGTTCTGGCCTAATTTAGAACATGTCTGTTATAGGTGTACATACTTACAATGGCATGTTTCTGGCATGCCTGTACGTACCAGGTCATGTGCTTTGCAACCCTTCCACCCCCTTAAAAAAACCAATGCAATAGCCATTAGAAGTGAAGTGAATTAAGGCAACTGAGAAGCAGCAAAGAAAATGCCATTTGCGTTTGATTCATCAGCAGAAGAATTTCATCTAACAAGAAAGAAGGGCACCGGTCCACCTGCAGCGTCTCCGCATGCAGGTAAGCAGAGCACACAGGTTTGACTGCAAAACCCATGCATGGTCTCTGCCTTACAGTGCCCCTCCTGCTGTCTGATACATATATATTAGTTCAACGAATGCAAGACATTCTTCTTGGGAGAGTTTGTGATTGACTATAATGATTTCGTATGAAAACAGAGGTGAATATGAGAAGGATAATATAAGAAACAGCTGGCTCAAAATTGGGTAAGAAAAGGACATTGTACTACTGCAAAAACAAAAGGAAGAGGGCAGTGTACGTCGCACAGTGTCACATCATTGTCCTGATTCCGTTCCCTACAATATTGGCATCATGAAATCAAGTGAGAGCTATGCAGATATTTAATTTCAGTTGATATTTATATATTGTGAAATCACAGGTCTGTCAAGTTGTCTTAAGAATGGTTCTGAATCCCAGGTACTTTAAGGAAATGAGAACATGCTAAATTGACCTGAGCAACAATCCTTTAGCATGTCAGTACTGCCTTATAAATTATATACCTCCAAGTCCCTACAGCCTGTGTTTTTGGAAGTGTCTCTCCCACCCCCAAAGTCCCAATTTTCTGGTTCTATTCTTAGGCAGCAGGTAATCTAAACCAGTAGAAGGCAGAACTTTCGAGCACATCCTCACCTTCTCTCTGTTCTACCATGAGGCATCTTCGGGGACTGAATTCAGGGCCTGGTTTTGTTTTGTTTTGCTTTTGTTTCTTTTAGAAAAGAATGAGAAGACTTTAGTGGGCTCAATAAGGGCCACTACTCTTGTGTGATCTACTCCTGTGACTTACAAGATTAAGCTGGTGTCACTACTTTGGTTGAGTTAAAAAGGGGAGAATCTGGTCTACTTTGAAAGTGTTAGCTAGGATTCTGGTTCATTTGGCTTTGGTATTTCAGCACAACATTGAATCTTGATTGAGCCCTTGTCTTAAAAAGAAAGAAAATGCCATCATTAAGTTGTACATTATGGGTTAAGATACTTTAAACAATCAGCGTCATTAAAATTTGAATTCAATGTATGTATTAGGTAAGAATTTTAGAAATTGCTTGGGGGGGGGGTTGTTCTCATTCCTGGCACCAGGCACTAATTACAGCCTTTCAAAACAAAAACAAAAACTGTGTGCAGACTAACCAAGCATGAGTGTGCAGAAGAGGCAAGAGGCGTCCTTTTTTGTAAGCCAAACAGTTTTTCTGGTAGGTGGCACTGTTATTTTAAATCCACACAAATGTGACACATTTCTATTGTCTCCCTGGAGGATTTCTTTTACTTAAAAATGACTATCATAGTAATTTTTTTTTCAAATTCATTTATTTCTCCATGGTCTCCAGATACTCAGTGTTCGTGTGGATATATATCTTTGTGTGTGAAGAGAAATACTTGTCCTCAATTTCCTTCGTAACAATACCAAATTTTAAAAAAAAAATGAACTTTGTAGAATTGACATATGCTTACAAAAGCCAGGGGAGTCTGGGATGCAGATTTCATTCTACAGCTAGAGGTAAAAAAGTCAGTGAAAGACTTAAAAATTCTTCTTTGTTATCACAACACCCCAAGTCAGGTATGCAAATAAGCCACTGCATGGATTTCCTGTGTGCACAATCTTAGAATTTACCTATCCAAACAAGTGTCAAAATATTGATTTGTAACATGTCATTGAGGAAAATACCAATTTTCGTTACTGTTTGTGATCCTTTGTTTTAGCTAAAATCCTTTCCAATGCTTTAAAAAACACAAAGAAACTCATAATTGATAAACACTGGTTGGAGATGAGACTCATGTTAAATATTGCTTTCTCTTTCTCTGTCTGAGGGAGGGCTGTGTGCATTTGAGACTCTGACAGCAACATCGTCCTGTTTTGATCTGCTCAAAGCCTCCGAGTCTCTGGAAGGATGGGTAGCTGATTTCTTCCTCCTTGCTTTCTCTCTCTTCCTTTCCTTGGCGAGGAGTCTATAGTTTATAGCATTGCCGATGAACAGATAAATGCCTGATATTACCACAATGGTCCCACTGGCTATGTACATGTATTTATAGTCTTTAGTTTTATCGACCAATTTGCCTACAAGACAGAAAAAAAATCATTTAAGAGAGCAGGATAAAATGATAACATGACATCTAGAAGAAACTTTCTCAGACTATTTAGACTAGCATTAAGTTATACTTTAATACAGAAAATATTTTAGATGATGTTCCTATATATACTCAATGAAGGCATGAACAAATGCCTACAGGAGTATGCTACTAGCACATCACATTTATCAAAAACTATTTCTACCATTAAAATGTATAATCAAAACAAATTAGGCATGCATATACTCATATATATATTAATACATAGGAATGAATATGAGACTTTTTTTTAGCTATCACTTTACATTAGACACTATGAAATCCCTTAATTGTCCCACGTTTCCTTTTTCTTTAATTTTAGAAGACCGGTGATGATCTGTGTGGTTCACTAATGGTTTCATGATGCTCACACAGGCTGAGCATTATTGTGACAATCTCCCTTGTCATGACGATGAAGTCATCTGCCCATGGCTATGACTTTTTAAAAATGTTGATTGAAACAGTAGTTACCAAATAAGGCCTGGTTGCTTTCCTTCCTTTCCCCATTCTGCTTTGTGTGTGTGAGCACTATGCAGGCTGACCAAGAACCTAAGTGACTGAGCTCATGAGCCCAGTATTCATCATACATATACAAGGTTTCTTAGAGACTATACCACAAATAACCATTATTATCTAACACTAAAGAAGATATTTAATAAAATTATGCAATAATGCATTTGCCATGTTTTTTTTTAATATTTTAAGTTAAAATTGCAGAATTGTCTATCATAGTTTCCTTGCAGGAATACTCAGATATATTTCAAAAGGAGGCCATAAGACAATCCATAGAAAGACCAACATACACAATGTTTCTAAAATATCTATTTTACCCTTTTTTCTCCCCCCCCCCCCTTTTCTCGCATTTTACTTTTTTGGTTTGTTTTTCAAGACAGGGTTTCTCTGTACATCCTTGACTGTCCTGGCCCTCAACTTGGAGATCCACCTGCCTCTGCCTCCCAAGTGCTGGGATTAAAGGTGTGGGCTAACACAAATGGGCAATTTCTTTCTTTCTTTTAAGAAAAAGAAAATTATTAGGTCATTTTCCATCTTAAAGGTTTGCATGGCATCTTTGTCAGTTGTGGATGTGTAACACGCTATTTACTCAAAGGACTAAACTTGAGTGCATGTCCTTCATCCTTGCATTCTGTATCAATGACAAAAGTCTGTCTACCTTGGGCAAAAACTCAAAATGAACACAGCTAATGGGCTCTCATAAAAATCTAATACTCTCAGGATATATTTTTGCCCATTTTTAAGTACACAAAACATGAATCTTTTCAGCAAAAGTAGTTACATTTTATTAATGTGATCTAGTCTTAAAAGTCATAAAATCATTGGTGTACATAAAAATCCCAAAGTTGTACTATCAATCTAATTAAGTTCATTGCTTTGTAAATCTGGGGTCTTAAATTTTTGGGTTAAATCAACCACTTAGGAAAATTTCAAGTATAAAACCTCTTCAGTCTTTTATGCAACTAGAGCTATTCAAAGCACATCAGCCACTGCAGAGAATGCGCTTCTTCATATATGTCTATGCTACTCTTTTCGGTATTATTGATGAGAGATATATTCTTACCGGCAATGGGAGGGCCAAGAAGAACAGGACAACATTCTACAATCGTGGCGAGTCCCACGGCACTGGAAAATCTGGCAGGCCCAACAAGGTCCATGAGAGTCTCAAAGAGCACGCTGCTAACACTTCCAAATCCATAGCCAAAGAATATAGAGTAGACCACCAAAGCTGGGTAGGTGTCTGCCAGGGGGCAGAGGAGATGGCAAATGCCAGTGAACATGATGGCAAAGCTGAAGAAGTACTGGATTCGTGGACGGACTAACCTGGAGTTGGCTATTAATCCTCCACACGGTCGAGCAAACATATCAACAAAAGCCATCACAGACAGCAGTAAAGCTGAGTTATATTCATCCACTCCCTTGTCTTTAGCATACGGAGCCAGGAATATAATAGGGGCAAAAAACCCTAGAAACATAATGACATTTCCGGACAGGTAGATCAAAAATCCTCTATGCTTAAAAAGGCTGAAATCTAAAAACCTGTTAATCTTCTCTGCTGCTGACACCTTGCTGGCTTTCTTCATACTTCCTTCATGTCTTGAACCAACTTTACTTTTAGACTTTGACTTCCGTGTACTTGTCTGGACAGGCCTCATGAGGCACCCAGCTACACAGGAGTGCAAAAATATGCCTCCCAAGATCAAGAAGCTTCCCTTCCAGCCATAACTGTTGAACAGGTACTGATTGAAAGGAGCCAGTGAGCTTAAGAAAACAGGGCTGCCTGCCATGGCCAAGCCATTCGCCATGGGTCGTCTCCTATAGAAGTATTTTCCTATTATCGTTAAGGCTGGTTGTAGATTGAACGCTAATCCTAAACCTAAAACACAAAACCAAAAACACAAGCAAGTTATATCACTCACCAAGCAAAGTCCTTAAAACGACTATACAGTACAAATAGCAGTGAATTCCCATCTTTGAGGATTACAAATGGAAATTGTACAAAAAATAAAAACAAAAACCCTGGGAATTGGCTTTCCTAACTGAACATAGAATGTTTGTAAAACAGAGTCCTTTGTTTTAAAGCCAGAAATACGACCGGGAAATGCTGAGGAATGAAAGAAATACCACAGAATAGGCTACAGCAAGTACCAAATTATAAATTCTTAATCAGAATCACATACTCACTGATAAAATTAACCCCTTCCTTCTCATACATACCTGTATGCAAATAAACAGGCTACAGTTGTTTCTAGTGAGATTTAAAAATGAAGATGTACTGCCATTGTGGTGAAACTATGAACCAGACTAAAAGAGTCACCTCACTGCACAGCTCAGACTAACACTGAACTCAATCTCTTGCCTTGGTTTACCTAGCCTGGTTTTATAACTTGTACCACAATGTCTGTACACAGTAGCCTGTAAAACCTACCTGTTTTCTTCATCAGATGGTGTACATACATAAATGCAGATGGATCTCAACTCAAAAAGGAGACAAAAATGTTGTTAGCCTTTAATATCCACTTTTTTCTTAAAACATGGAATGTGGATTTTTAAATAAAATGTATTGATAAGGAAAACAACTTTGGATGTAATGGTGTAGGTGTAAGTTGGTTTAAGTGAAAGGGACTCCCTCATGAGGCGCAATGATGTCATTCTCAAGGCTTGTGTGAGCGCTTGCTTTAAGTACATCTTTTTAGTAAGGAAAAGACAGATGGAGGAAGGTTAAAGCACTCTCTCCTCTCTCTCTCTCTCTGTCACTCATTAAAGCACAGTTGGCAGTAATTTTATCATTGAAGTTAAATCACCGTTATCTAAAAATATGTATCTGACACCATTTTTAACTTACCATTAGTGGTAAGTCTAATACTCTAAACAGGACTAAAAATGTTTCATAAAACATTGTTATACTGGAAGGTACTCACAACACCACCTTAAGGAACTCAATAGTAAAAAGCCAGAGTCAAAACAACCAAAGCTTCTTCCATTTCTGTATCTGTGGGATGACACATAACTGTCCGATAACTTTTAAAAATCATTTCTTAAAGTGGAACGTGTAGCCATGCTGTAAGCAGTAATTTAAGGCATCAGACAAAAAGATTCCAGAATAGACCCGGTTTCAAAAGCAAACTGAAACAGAACACGGAAGCTGTGTCTTCTTCATCCTTTTCATACCATTTAGGGGAGACCAGAACCTGGCTTACCTCCGATGAAGCCAACCGTGAGGTAAAGCTCTAACACACTGTTACTGAAGGAGGCCAAGATCATTCCGGTACAGCATAACAACCCTCCAACTATCACCACTGGCCGGCTGCCATAGTTATTCACCAGGACACTACTGACGGGACCTGAAGTAGACAAAGGATTCAGAAATATTAATGGGGGGGGGGGTCAAAGATTTATCCTTAATATAATATCTTTCTTTGAACTCTGAGAAAAGACAGTTTAGCAATCAAGATAGCGCAGTTCACGTACAATAGAATTGGGGCTTCCCATAGACTGATTTGTTTTGCATTACTTTTCTAGAGACGGAAGGCTCAAATTCCTGGGCTGGAATGATCCTTCTGTCCCAAAAGCCTGACCTGATTATCTGGTACTATACGAACGAATTACTGTTTCCAGCTGACATGTGATTTTATTTAATTTGTAAAGGTTCATTTTTTGTTTTGTGTATGTGAAGGCTGGAAGAGGCAATCAGATTCCTTAGAGCTAGTGTTACATGTGGGTGTTGGGATTCGGACTCAGGTCTTTGAAAGAGCAACAAGTGCTCTTAACTGCTGAGCCCACTGTTCCAGGCTCAGGTTTGTTTTGTTTATTTGACCATATTATAAAGACACACAAAAATAAATTGGAAACCTTTAACATGTATAATTTTAAAGACTGACACCAATAAAATGTAATGGGAAAGTTTTCAATAGAACACAGCCGGACATGCCTCAGACGTCTTTAGAATGATGGTGAATTTATGTCACAAAAAGCCTGCAATTGTGTACAGCTTTAGTGTACATGTCTGAAATGAGGTGTGTACAGGTTCACAAGTCATTGTTCATTACACTCAGATATGGTTTTTCTTTAATATTGTGTGTGTGCAGTGCACACATGTGAGCCCATGCACACTTACGGGTCTATGCATGTCAATGCTGCTGCCCTCAGAGCTCCTAACAGGGTATCAGGTTCCCTGGGGCTGGAGGAGCCTCTGAGCTATTTAAGCCCACACTTCCTTCGTTTAAGATTCTGACTGTTGCTGGCCCATGACAATCCCCACACACTAGTATAGTTATCATGCTACACAGGCTTGGGGTTTGTATTACATTCCAGTGTTTGCATAACCGTGAATAATCACTCTTACTTTAACTGTAGAAAAATGGATCCTGACTTTTCCCAAAAGTTCTGTGTGTGACCTGTTCTCTTAATGCCATGTAAGCATCAGCAGTGACGCTTTCAGAATGAGGGCAGCTTCTTGGTGAACGCTGCCCATGGTATGAGAAGATCCTACCTCCCTGACACAGAACAGTGAGGCCTAAGGGAAGACTCAGAGGGAAGGGGCTTCGGAAATAACTTACACAGTTGATTTAACATGTATTTTCCAGTGCACGTGGGTGGATAAAAACCCACTTGGGATCATTAACATCATGCAATCTTAATGAAGTGCAGGGAAGCTATCTTGGGTGGAATAAAATGTAAGTTCTGAATATTAAAGCATGTGTTTTACTTTAATGGGCAGTATTCATTTTTCTGTCTCAAAAAATACTAATGCAACTTAAGTGAATTCAGTTTTGATAAAATCTATCTTCTACAATCTGTCAATGCAGAAATGATATCCTTGACATTTCTTAAAATTTTGTTTCATCTGAAACGAGGGATACTGCATTAACAGAAATAAGTATATTAGGTCAGAGTTGGGCCTAGAAGGATATTTTGCTGCATCAGCTCCTGTTGCATTTGAAAACATTTATGTGGATAAAGTTGACATATTGAAATTGTTACCATGACACCCATACTTTCAAGCAATTATCATTAGTTACAATGTAATTTTCAAATGAGATAACTCAAAAATAATACAAAGTCTTATATTGAAAGAGACAGACAAGATAAGATTAACATTTTTAAAAGACCTAACATAACACAAATATTCCAAAACTATGGGTCTGGGAAACAAAAATAAAGGAAAAATGATCAAGATAAGTGAGTAAAGGTCTTTTGAAGGAGTGAACAGAGCTAAGAAATTCACACATTATATAAATGCACTATCTAGAAAATGTTACTCATTAACACAAACCTGCCATCTACAAAAAAAGCATCTTTTGAAGAAGGCATACAGCAAAATAAGATCTGGGTGAAAAAGGGAAAATCAGAATAAATTTGTCATCATTATTAAACTCAGGTGTAGATGATTCATGGAAGATTTTTTTCCCCTTTTCTCAAGTTAGGTGACTCAATTTAATTCAGCTTAATTAGGTTCAGTTTAATACATCATGAACTCAAGCTCTTAGGATAAAGCCAACTGACTTACATAAAGAAAAAATAATAAGCAAAGCATACTGTAATCTTAAAACAAATCCATTTCTTATATTGTGTATTCCATTTTTTGTGTGGTGCCTGAATAACTAATTTATGGACAAAGTACATAATTCATTACTGCATTCATATGTATCTTTGCCTAAATGGCACCAATATAAACTTGATCTTAAGCCATGAATCACTACTTTGTAATATACAGCAAACAGTTATACATCTATACCCATAGGTTGAGTCAATGTCATCCAAGACTTCCTTTGTCACTTGCTACTATTAATAAGGAGAGCCATGGCAACACTGGGTGATGGTTGTGTCTCTTCTATCGTTTCTATAAAGATTTCATTCGAGATACAATCAAAGTTCTAATCTTAATAGATTAATTTCACTTTAAACAGCATGCCTTAGTTAAATGATATTCTGTGTGGGGTATATTTACATAACTCATCTGTAATCTTTTGCAAAAGATTTACTTTATTAGTGACCCTTTTAGAAACAGCCCAAACTCTTCCCCTCTTAACATTAACACTTGGGGGATTTGTAAAGTATTCCTGATTTGCAGGAGCTGTGAAATGAATTTAAAGGTGAGATACAAATTAAGACATTTTTATAAAAAGAATCCCTAAATGCTTAATAATGGCCCGAGGAGACATCTAACATTGAAGTAATCCCCACCACCAAGGGGCACATCTCTTTGATATATTAACAGTTTGGTTTATTACAAGAAGAAAGAGGAAGATGAAAGGCCAGCAGACACTCTCATAATACAGGCTTCTTAGTCATCAATTGACTTCATAACCAAAATTACTCCTTTTGGAAGAGCCTTAAGACTGACTACATCCTATGCTTACTTATTTCTTTTTGTCAATAAGGCTTAATGTTTAAAATCACTGTATTCTTCATGTAATCACAATGATTAATGCACATACTGAATATATGATTATTAGTCACGTGCATTATATATTTAATATACATCATATACATCTATAAATTATGATGATTAGCCATATCAAGAATGAACTGTCCCATCTGCACTTATATGTGAGTCCATAACTAAACAGCCTAAAGGCAACATTCATCAGAATGGTTCTATTTGATAGTCAACCTCATAGACACACACACATACACACACACACACACAAAGGGTAGATATGAAAAATAAACTATTTCGAAAACCATTCACAAGAAGATTAGACTGTATGCATATAAGACTGTTCTAGGCATTAATTCATATGATGCTCATTTCTAAACAATCTCAGAATTATAAAATCTGGCCAATGTCTTGAAATTGCAATAAACAGCTTCACTGGAGAGTAGTGTGGGTCTCACAGTATTGCTACCAATCGGTGTTTGCCCATCCTCAGAGGCCCTGTTGGACGGTAACACACACAGCAAACAGTGGTCCTTCTCATTCCTTGTGCCAGGCTCATGCGTTTTATTATAGATTCTTTATAGGTAGCTACCATGCCATATTATTAGTTACCTGGGACAATAATCATGCTCTCCAGAAAGTGTGCATTATTTCATAGACTTGTTATGGCAATCCTGTGATTGAACTGCCTAATGGACCCTGACAGTTAATGACATTGAGGTGCAAATACTTTGATATTTCGGGTCTCTCAATTTTGGGTAGTAAGACGTAGATCGTGTCAGGGTCATTTGATGACGGTATTGTTTTGAGATATGTGCAGAGCATATTCAATACAATGGGGCTAAGAGAACTAGAAGTGTTTGCTTCCAGCATGGGAGCTTATCGGACATAGGGAATATATATTCTCTAGTTGGTAATGGGATAGCTAAACCAGACTAGCCTGTTGAAACAGTGTGTGTCACACTTACCACCTCTTACAAATATGATGCTCACTTCTCCTTCCCCTGACGTCTGGAGTTTTGGTATACATTAAGCAGTACACACCAGCAAAAAAAAAAAAAAAATACCCTTGTGAGCAGCTCACTAATGAAAGCACTAGATACCAACCATCTAGTTTCCTGGTAGACAGCTCTTCATGACTTTCATCACAATGATTTCTGGGAAAACGAGATTTCAGAAATCTGTAATAAATTTTATCCAATTCATAATGTGTCGTAACGATGCAACCTAACAGAATTATGAGTAAGGACTACCTTAATAAATTCAGTTCAGACAGTCAAGCTAGGCCAGAGCAACGGAATGAGAAAGGTTCTCCTGAAGGCTCACAACAGAGTACCCATATACAAAGAGTGGCCCCTTTCCTGGCCATAGGCTGGGACATGTGAAAGGGAAAAGTCTAAAATACATCAGGGGGGTCAAATGCTTGCACAGAAGACAACAGCCATGGTTCTCTTGTTTCTCATCCATGACTACGAAGGAAAAAACAAAATCAGAGAAATAAAAGAAATATGTATTAAGCAGCTGGCTAGGGGCAGAAGTACTTTGACCCAGGATAGAAACACACTATAAGTCAGTAGACGAGTAACAATCCTGTTTATCTACCTCGAGTCAGATTATACTAAAGAACATTTACCAGGGCTTAAGTGTACTGTGTACACTACCTCCATGGCCGTAGTCCAGTGAAGTAAATCACAAACAAAGACAAAGCCCTAAGAAAATACAAGTTATATAGCTAGCTTTTGATGCATTAATTACCCCCTCCTCCAAAATGAAAACACACCCATTTTCATTGAATAAGTAAGAAAACCTACCACAGACGCCCGTGAATTTATTTTCTGAGTCTTGATGCCAAGAACAGTCACAGGCAAACCTTTGAGAAAACATGAAGCCCTGACATGAGTCCCTTTGGAAACTTTGGAGTTGTGATTTGAACAGAACTCTGTACAGGCTGCAGGCATTTTC